CCCGCCACCTTAGGTGTATGTGGCTGGCGCCTTAGCCACTTGAGCCACAGGCGCCGAGCCCCCAGCATCATTTTCTATCAGCTTTACACACTTGCGAATGCCAGAGTGAGACCAATGATGGATGTGTAAGTGCCAAAATGCAGTGCCTATGCAAGGTGCCATCTTTTTAAATTTTTGCCCCAAATCCCCATACTTTGCTATCTTTTATTTGTTTTTTCATCCATGTCTGTATTTCAACAAAACTTGATTCAATAAACATTTGCAAAACTAAGTTCCAAACTCAATCCCTGCCTGAGAGACAAGCAAACAAATACAGTTCCATGTGATAAATGCTGTATTAGAGGTATGTGTCTGGTACAGGCATCTGCCTTTTATGCACAAAGTGCTATGCTAAGGTACAACACAGCAGTTGAGCAATTGAGTAATTTACCTAAGGTCACAGACTAAAAAGAGGAAGAATCATGTTTCAAGCCTACACTTGTTCTAACTTCAGGGCCTCAGCTCTTAATCACTCTGCTGCCCTGCCTCTCATTTGTTTGTTTATGTGTTTATTATGTCTCTTGACTAGAATGAAGCTCCATAAGGGAAGGCCTTTGTTTTAAATGTTCACTAGTCTATCCTCAGCCCATAGACCTCTATGCCTGGCCCATAGCAGGCACTCAATAAATATGTAATGAAGTAAGGCCCTGGAGAATGGGAAAGAGAATGTAATGAAGAATGGGGAGAAGTGAAACCGGAATGGAATGAACATCTCAGAGGTTTGTGTCCAAGACCTACCCAAGTGACTCTGGCATATGTATGAAAGGAGGCCCAGCAATCACATATTTTTAAAAGCTCTTCAGGTAAGACCGTGATATAGGAAAAAGTTTGACAACCACTGACTTGCTATCATAAAGGTGAAAAAAGAAAAAAAAAAACCCATAACTTGTACTCTTTTAGTTACACTGGAACGGTTGAGAGACTTCATCTTGATTAATATCATTCTTAGGCATATATTTTAGCAAGGACACACACTAATAACTAGCTTTGCATCTTTGTTCCTTTTGGCCCTATTTTGGCTGTTGGGTAAATAACATGATCAGACAGATCTACACTCCTCTCAAGTATTATAATAATAAGTCTTAAAGCCAGAGGAATTGCAAATGGATAAGATTTGTGAGGAGATGATATTCATGGTAAGACATAATGTGGACTGGGAGGCAAAGAATGAAATAATCTGGTCACAAATCCTAGTTTCAGGTTAACTGCTCCGTGTCTTATTTTCCTCATCTGATTTATATGAGGATGGTGTGAGATAATCCACATAAAGCACTGAGCACCGTTTCTGGCTCAGGAAGCTAGCTTTATAGTCAGTGATATGCAGTAGTTTTCTATCTCATTCTACTGAGGAGTAGCTAAGTTGTTTCCAGTTTTTTCTGATCAGTGGTAATGGATACAAAAAGTCTTTGTTTCTTTATTCATGCTGTTAATGTTTCCTAAAACTCCTTTGATAACTTTCTTGGACCTGCTAAGGCCTTCAAGATTCAGTTCAGGTGTCAGCCCTTAGTGTCCTAGAAGCTTTACCTGATCATCTGATGAGGCAAAGGTCTTCTCCTCTTTGTTGCTATAACTCGCTGGCCAGATTTCTGTCTCATCACTTGCCATATTATATTGAAATTATATGTACTCACTGTCTCTTCCACTAGACAGTGAGCTCTTTGGGAGAAAGGACCACTTCTTATTCTTTTTATATCCCTAGACACCTAGCACAGGCCTGGCCAATAAATGTTTGCTGAACTTTCTCAAATGAATATGCCAGGGCTCTGATGGTTACTACTGTTGGAAGCCTTTTGTCTAAGATTGCTGCCTTGTGCCCTGGACCTCCCTGTTGCACTTACAGTCCTGCAATGCTATTTTGCACTTAATTATATACCCGTATACCGTATATTATTCTTTAATTGCTTCATATGATAATCTACCACTTATTTCCTCTTCCTTCGGGCACTAAGAGAAGGAACAATTATAAATTAAAAGTGAATGATCCAGGTGTAAGCCACACCCAGCTGTCAGTTAACTTTGCTTGCTGAATGACCAGAGCCATATGAGTACAACGATTAGTCACCAGAAATGAATGCTGATGCAAAAGTAGCATGATTTGTCACAAGGTCCTGCATTAATACCTTCACATAGTAGGTACTCAAGAAATATTTATTGAAGGAATGAATGAATCATGTACTTGGTTAGGGTACAGATCAAGAGCCCTGGTTTCTAATCAGATCTCTGTCACTTCATTTTGAACTTGGGAAGTTACTTCCTTTTTCTGGGATACACTTTCATGTTCTGTAAAAATATGAAGGAATTAGACTCGATGGTATTTAAAGTGTCTTCCAGTTTTAATATACAATACTTCCCCCAAATAGTTTGAAAATTTCTGAAGAGTAAGCACAGATATATCTCTTATGTAAATCTTCATAGCACCTAGCATGGAGCTGAGCACACAGGAGGATTTGACAAAAACCTTAAAAGTCAGAATCACCCCCCTCCCTAGTCACTCTGAACCCAAATTAAAACAAAACAAAACAACCACCAATGGATATGAAACTCTGTTGTGAAACATGCCTTATCTCTAAAAACCAGCCCTAAAGAAAAAGTAGGAGAAAACCTGGAAATCTCTCCTAATTGTTGCATTTCAAAATCTTTAAAACATTTGTGATTTACAATTCTGACCTAGGCTCTAGTTTACAATCCAGTTATTTCATTAATCCAGGTGACAATTGAGTGAATGCAGAATAACAATTTCAGCCTGATCTCAGGCCCTCTCCTCTCTCTTCCTTGGTAATCATTTATACCTTTCACTTTACCACATTTATTACCACTGGAGCTGATGACACACTCATTTATCTCTCCAGCTGATATCTCTCTGGCCAACATCTCTACTCTGAATTCTAGGATGATACATCTAATTGCCTATTTGAATTTGCTTAGTCATCTCAAAGGTGTATCCAACTCAATATGTCTGAAAGAGAACTTATGATGTTCTTCCTATAAACCTGGTTCTAGTCCAAGGTTTCTAACTCACTGAATAGCACTTCTATCCACTCAGTTCTGCAAGCCAAGTATCAAGGAGTCATCTTGGACACCACCTCTACTTCACTCTCCCCATTCATCTCCACCCCATCATTAATCATGACAACTCTGTTTCCTAACTATCTCTCGAATCAGTCCACTTTTCATTATCTGCAGCATCTCTACCATCTCGAATCTGGACCATTCTACTAGCTTACTAACTAGCCTATCCCAGTTTGATTTTTCCCTCCTCCAATCTATTCTCCACATTTCTGTGTCATTAGCTCATTTATCTATCAAAAAATATTTATTGAGTGCC